GCTCCGGCGGCCGCCGGTTGACGCCAGCCCCGCCGCGCCCGCCCCGCTCCGCAGGCCCGCCTCGCGCAGGGCCAGCGCACACGCTCCAGACTTGCACGCGGGCAGCCCCGCCGCGTTGAGGGCGCTTGCGCCGCGCCCGCAGTCGCGCCGCCTGCCGCGCGCGGGCACCTTCGCCGCGTTCCGCTCCTCGGACGCCCTGCTTGAGGGCGCCGCTATCGCTGCGACGAAGGAGCACACGCAGGTGAGTAGCGAAGATGTGAAGAGTACAAGTGATTCGGATGGGAGCGGACGAAAGGAACGTGCGCAGAGGGTTTGTGGTATGTGCAGTGCGTGCGCGGCCATGCCGCCGTGGGCTCCGGAGAGGATGGCAACGCTGTCGCAGGCGGAGAAGAACGCCGTGTTGAGGGAAATGCAGCATAAGGAGGAGAGGGGAAAGCTCGAGGCTGAGCTGAGGAAGAAGCGCTTGAGTGACATGCAGGCCGTCGCGAGAAGGCTCGCGAAGAGGCCGGGGGTGAACGAGGAGTTGCAGTCGGAGAGCGCGAGCGAGGGAGTGCTGAGCGCGGGCAGGGCTGTGAGCGGTGACTATGACGAGTTGGAGAGCGTGGATTTAGGGACTGAACTCGCAAGTCAGAGGAGCGCGTCGAAGAGGAGAAGCAGGACGGAGAGCACGTCTACAGGTCCGCGGGACGACCGCTTTGGGGAGGATATTTCGGGTGCTGTGCAGACGGGTGTCAAGGGCAGGGGGAGACGCGTCCGAGTTGACGACGACTGTGGTCAATGCGGCGAGTTGGAATGCAAGGTCAAGGACCTGGAGGAGCAGTTGGGTGTGCTGAGGGAGGTTGTGAGGATGTGCGGCCCGGGAGAGGAACGGGATGAGGAGGAAAAGGAAAAGGGCAAGAAGCCAAAGACGTGGAAGGATAAGGTGATCAGTGCGTATTTTGGCGGCTCGGCGGTTGGGAATGAGCGAAGTCGACTTCGCGCGGAAGTTGAAGCACTGAGGAAGGCGACCGACTTCCTCTTTCACAAGCTGCAACCGCAACAGACTAACAAGTGACACTCCGATGCGCATTCTTTGTGAGTAGAGACTAATTGTAGCGTAGATATTTTGGCGGGAAAATATGCCAACCCGAACGCCATTTTCGATTTTCATTTCTTTTTGTTGCGCTATTCAACATCCAATAGCTACCCTTGGTAATCCTTAGCTCCGACGCCTCTTCCCCCGCTTCTCTGGCGCACCTCCAAGCCGAAGCGAAACCCAACCGCCGGAAGCCCCTCTTGGTTTCAACCCTTTTAACCGCCGCATCTCCTGCGTCGTTAGACGCTGCCCGATGCCAATTTGGAAGCCGCGCTAGGCTCGTATCCGCTCATTTCCCTGTAACCCGGCAACCTCAGCACCTTGCACGATGCACATCACGCAAATAACCATTTCCGGCTTCAAGAGCTATCGCGATGCGACGGTCGTCGGGCCATTCGCGGCGGGGCACAATGTCGTCGTAGGACGCAATGGTTCGGGCAAGTCCAACTTTTTTGACGCCGTGCGCTTTGTCTTGTCTGATACCTATTCCTCTCTCCGCGCCGAAGACCGCGTCGCTCTGCTTCACGAAGGTGCAGGGGCCTCGGTCCTGTCCGCATACGTGGAAATTGTCTTTGACAATTCTCACGGTCGCCTGCCATTCGACAGAGACGAGGTCGCTCTCAGACGTATGATTGGATTGAAGAAGGATGAGTTCTTGTTGGACAGGAAAAACGTTACGCGCTCCGAGGTCTTCAGCACGCTTGAGACTGCTGGCTTATCCCGTTCAAATCCATACTACATTGTTCAACAAGGGAAGGTCGCCGCCTTGTGCGCAATGACTGACAAGCAGCGCCTCGATTTGCTGCAGGAAGTCGCAGGCACTCGCATCTACAATTCGCGCCGTGCAGAGTCCCTCAAGAGTATGGATGAGTCTGATGCTCATCGCAACAAAATTTCAGAAGTCATAGCTTATATTGACTCACGTTTGGGAGAGCTGGAATCGGAAAAGGACGAACTTCGCGCCTTCCAGTCCCTGGATAAAGAACGAAAGGCACTCAAGTACACTATCCATGTTCGAGAGGTAGAGGAAGCAAAAGCTGCCTTGGAGGGTTTGGATGGAGACAATCATCAGTACCGCTCGAGGACAGAGGAGCTGCAAGCGAGGTTAACTGATGTCAGAGCAAATATTGCAGGTGCAGAAAGGGAAATCAAGTCATTAGCACCGGAACTGCGCAGGAGTGAGGAAGAATTAGAGGCAATGGATGGCCAGCGGAAGAAGGCCGTTGACAAAGTCGCCGAGTATAAAGTGCTCGTAACGGAAGCAGAGCAAGCGGCAAAAACAGTCGCCGAAACCGTTGCAACATCACGTTCCGAACTCAATCAGGTTGAGCAACTCATCGAGAGCAAGAGGGAAGAGCTCGAACCGTTGGAGACGCATTTTAAAACACTACAGAAAGCAGAATCTAAGCTCCGCAAGAAGCTTACTGACAGTGAAAGACGATTACTCAATCTTCGCGTAAAGGAAGATAGAACAAACCACTTCCCCAACGCTCAAGCACGGGATGCCCATCTGCGGAAATTGATCCGCGAACAGAAGAAACGGCGGGACGGCTGCGTCGCGCAAATTGAGTCAGCTAAAAAGGACATTGTGAGATTGGAAAAGGCCATAGAAAAGGGGCAGTTCCGAAAGGAAGAATACGAAGCCCAACGGCAGGAGCTGCTGGCGAGTGCAAATAGCGGTGATCCTGAGTTGGTCACCCTGCGAGCACAACGGGACCGTCTGCATGCTGAGCGGCAAGAAGCGCGGCGAAAGGAAAGTGATCTTCGGGCGAAAGCTAGGGATTTGCACAATGGTATGGGGCGTTTGGAAGCTGCAAAGAGGTCAGTTCTTGGCGCTGGTGCGTACAGAGCCATTCAAGCGGTGATGCGGGCTTCTCATGAAGACCCGCGTAATTTGGGCCCTAATCGTGTCTATGGTCCGCTCGTTGACCTTATCAATGTCGACTCAAAGTTTTCATCGGCAGCCGATGCCATTGCAGGTTCCACACTAACTCACATAGTCGTGGATAACGATGCAACATCTGCGAGGCTTGTAAGGATCATGAAAGAGCGGCGAGCTGGCAGGGTCACGTTTATCCCACTCAATCGGCTAGACGACAACCAAAGGCGGCCACCTTCAACGACCGCAGACGCTATTCCGCTCATTAGCAAGATTTCATGCCAAGATATGTTTCTTCCAGCTATTCGGCAGATCTTCGGCAGAACGCTGGTTACAAGGACAGTTGAAATAGGAGCTGAAATGTCGAAAAGACATGGCGTTGATTGCGTCACTCTTGACGGTGATGTTGTGAACAAGAGAGGGGCTATGCACGGAGGCTACATGGACGCTTCTAGAAGCCGGATTGATGCAGCACGCTTTCTCCGAGAGGCGCAAGCCGAGCTGGCAGCTTTGGAACCTCAAAAGGCAAGTTGGCAAGCAAAAGAAGCTGAGGTCGATGCAAGCTTGACCAGAGTACTTGGTGAAATGCAAAGACGTGAATCAACAAAGAGAACATCCAATTCGACAGCAGCTCGACTCCACACCGAAATCGCCCGCCTCTCAAAATACATCCAAAACGACAAGGCCAACATCCCGCGAGCCAAGGATCGGATGGCAGTGGCTGAAGAGTCTATCACTGCCGCTGAAGCGGCAATAGAGGACCATGAAAAAGAATTGGGTACTCCGATGGTCTCGGGGTTGTCCCCGGAAGAAGAGGTCCTAATGGAGTGTCTGAAGTCCGAACTCGAGACGCTGGGATTGGAAGTGACGGCAAAGAGCAATGAGCGTGCACTTGCTGAAAGGTCCGTTGTGTCGTTGCAGTCTGAGTTGAGCGGAAACCTGGAACGGCGGGCAGCTGCTCTGCGCGAAGCGATGAATCTGGGTGGCCAGGACAGTTCTATGATGATGTCAGACGACAATGACAGTCAGGCACAAACACAGAATGAGCTACGTAACAAGCTTGAGGAGCTAAATTTGGCTGAGGCTGACGTGAATAGTGTGGTGAAGTCGATAGAAGAGAGCAGTGCAGTAGTGCATGACAAACGGAAACGGCATAATCGACTCAGCAATCGTTTAGAACACGATCGTGAGGAAGAGAGCAAGATTAGTAAGGAACTGGAAGATGACCGGCAAATGGTGGAGCGGCGGTACAATCAGAGGTCAATCGAAAGGCAAAAGAAGAGTGATGCAGAGAAGAGCATTCGGGAGCTTGGATCATTGCCAGCAGACTTTGACAAGCATCGGGGGTTATCGATGGGGGTATTGATGAAGAAATTGAAGAAAACGAACCAGTCTCTTCAGAAATATTCACATGTGAACAAGAAGGCGTTAGACCAGTATTTGAAGTTTACGGAGGAAAGAGACTCTTTGACACGGCATCTCGGAGAGCTGGAAGAAGGTGCGCAGTCTATTCGGCAGCTGATTGAGTCTCTCGACCACAGGAAAGATGACGACATTTTGCGGACGTACAAAGGAGTGTCGAAGTTCTTCAGCGATGTATTTCGCGAGCTGGTTCCTGGCGGCAAAGCGTCGCTTGTGATGCTCAAGTCGGGCGACAATGGGCAGAACGATGATGGGGAAGAGGGAGAACCGCGGCGAATCCGGTACACGGGTGTTGCGATGAAGATTTCATTCAGCACGACTGGACAGGCGTATTTACTTCAGCAATTGAGTGGCGGGCAGAAGTCAATTGTGGCGCTGGCGCTTATCTTTGCGATTCAGAGACTTGACCCAGCACCGTTCTATCTATTTGATGAGATTGATGCAAACCTTGATGCGACGCATCGACAAGCTGTCGCCAACTTGATCAGGAAGCGGGCGAACCTTGGGACTCAGTTTGTTACGACTACGTTCCGACCAGAGTTTGTGAACGCGGGGGATATGTGGTATGGGGTGACGCACAAGAGAAAAGTTAGCTCTGTGCAGCAAGTGAACAAGAACGTTGCGTTAACTTTCGTGACAAACGATCCAGGCCAATCATGAGTGTTTTTCTTTTTTTCGCGAGCGCTACCCTTCTAAGGGTTAAGAGTCGTAGACCTGGTGGTTGCATGTGAATGAAATGTGTATTTTTGTTTATAAGAATAGTAGGGTCGTTCCTCCTTGTATCACTACTGTAGTATCAAAAAAGAATTGTACGGTGCGGTACTTTGAAGGAGGATGACTTGCTCTGCTCTGCCCACATAAAGTAGTTCTCTAAAGTAAATTACGAAGGGCAAGAAGCGGCAGGGTGGAAAGGTCGCTTCTTTCGAAGATAAACGTGACAGTTAGAAAAACGTGACCCCGTGACAAATCTACTGTAAGAGAAGAGGTCTCTAGAGCGGCCTATCAGCACGCAGTTGATGTGATGCGAACCGCCATAATTGGTCTGCTCGCCCGCCGATACGATCCCCAACTGGGGCCGTCACTCCAACGCCTCACTAGCAACACCCCCCAGATTCGCGACAACGGTCCTGCCACGCCCGGTGGAAAGACACGCCGCTAGCTAGAAAGGGACCGCCTCTTTCCAGTTGCATCTCACAGCCCGACTGCGCCCAACTCTTTGCACTGCCCTCTACGACTCTTCCTCGGTCACCGGCAAGCAGCATCTCACCTATAAGGCTCGAATCAACCCCAATTGTCACCCCCGGCCCGTGGAACATCACCATGCTCGCCTCCGCAGCCCGTTTGCGAGGGCATGCGCTTCGAGTGCTGGCACGCTCCGCGCATTTGCGTCAACGCCGCACGCTCTCTTACTTGCTACCGAAAGCATCCTCACAGGACCTCCGTGTGCTCGCTACCACCTACCCCAACTTCCATCCCAAGTACTCGCATTTATCAAACTCTCCATGGCTCTCATCACTACTCCATTCGGCCGACAAGGGCGGGCAAGATACAAACAAAATGACTGAGGACCATCCGAGAAAACCCACCGCCAGCAAAGGGAAAACGGGCCCCGGTGCGGAAAACGGCGACCCCAAGGGGCCTGAAGCGAAAGCCGACAACGTTGCGGGTGGTGGGGGCGGCGGGAACAAGGAGGGCGGCAAGACAGACGGCCCCGGCAAGCCCGGCAAGCCGCAAAGCGACGACGATCAGAGCAATTCATGGATGGGCCAGGCCGCGCTGGCACTCTTCGTCATGCTGGGTTTGTCGCTGCTCGGCTCGCGCGACCACGGCCGGGAGATTTCCTTCCAGGCATTCGTGTGGGACTTGCTGGAACCGGGGCTCGTCGACCGCATCGAGGTCGTCAATCGCAACGTAGCCCGCGTGTACCTGCGCACGTCCGCGCGCGCGCGGCCGCAGGATGCCGCCTTCGAGACCAGGAGGGGGCAGAGGGGCAGGTTGGACGGAGAGCAGGAAGCGAACGAGGCGGGGTGGGGCGCGGGAGAGGGCGGCTTCTCGGCCGATTCTGGGAGAGTTGATGGCGTCGGGAAGCTCAATCCGAGCATGGCTACAATCAACTCGACCGAGTCGCCATTCTATTTCAATATCGGCACTATTGATACGTTTGAGCGCAAGCTGGAAGCAGTGCAGGAAGATCTTGGTATTGAGCCGGATGACTTGGTGCCGGTTGTGTATACGAAAGAATCGAGTTTGACGACGGAGCTGTTGAGACAAGCCCCTTCGATCATACTGTTGGGGATTGGTATTCTCGTCTTGAGAAACGCCTTGGGACAGCTTGGAGGCATGGGAGGGGGGCGTAGCGGGATCTTTCAAGTGGGCAAAGCCAACCCGACGGTCGTCAAGGGTGGCGAAGCCGGGGTGCAGACCACGACGTTCTCGCAAGTTGCGGGCTTGGACGAGGCCAAGTTGGAGGTCATGGAGTTTGTCGACTTCCTGAAGAACCCAGCACGATATGAGAAACTCGGTGCGAAGATCCCGAAAGGGGCGCTCTTGGTAGGACCCCCAGGGACGGGAAAGACCCTACTGGCAAGGGCGACAGCCGGCGAAGCGAATGTCCCTTTCTTTTCGATGAGTGGGTCCGACTTCATCGAAATGTTTGTCGGTGTGGGACCGAGTCGCGTGCGCGATTTGTTCACACAGGCAAGGGCCAGCGCGCCTTGTATCATCTTCATTGATGAAATTGATGCCATTGGAAAGGCGAGGGGGAGGAGCGGGATTTCTGGGGGTAATGATGAACGAGAGAACACCTTGAATGCCCTCTTGGTTGAAATGGACGGATTCTCATCAAGCGCTGGCGTGGTCGTCTTGGCAGGTACGAATAGAGCTGATGTCTTGGACAAGGCTCTCCTTCGTCCAGGCCGTTTCGATCGTCAAATCAGTATTGACAAACCGGACATGCGGGGCAGGTATCAAATTTTCATGGTTCATCTGCAACCACTGAAGCTAAAGGATGAAGCATCAAAGATTGCGAAGCGACTGGCAGCTTTGTCTCCGGGCTTCGCTGGAGCTGACATTGCAAACATTTGTAACGAAGCTGCCCTTATCGCCGCCCGCCAGGACAAAAACTTTATCGAAATGATCGACTTTGAAAAGGCCATAGACCGAGTCATTGGAGGTCTTGAAAAGAAGAACAAGGTCATTTCTCGGAAAGAGAGAGAGATTGTAGCTCACCATGAGGCAGGCCATGCCGTTGCTGGGTGGTTCTTAAAACATGCTGACCCGTTAATTAAGGTTTCCATCATCCCCAGGGGTTCTGCAGCTCTTGGTTTTGCGCAGTATCTACCTGTGGACAAATTCCTACAGTCTAGGGAGCAAATGAAAGACTTCATGATAATGGCTCTCGGAGGTCGCGTCGCGGAACAATTATGTTTCGGCAGCATAACTACAGGTGCGCAAGATGATTTGAAGCGGATTACCCGTGCCGTGTATGCACAGATTACCACTTTTGGGATGAGTGAGAAGGTTGGGAAGATCTACTTTCCCAAGGCAGGCGAATCAGGGAATCAATTTTACAAGCCGTACAGCGAAAAGACAGCAGAGCTGATCGACGATGAGGCTTTACGGATTGTTGAAGAAGCGTATCTAGACTGTGAAAAGCTACTAACTGAAAAACTGGACGTCGTGAAAAATCTCGCAACCCGACTGCTCGACAAGGAAGTCATTGGTGAAGAGGATTTGATCGACGTGCTCGGCCCTAGGCCATTCGCGAAGCCAGCGACATACGACGAATTGGTAGGGCGGTACGAGCAAGATAGGAAAAAGCGGACTGGGAAGGGAGGTGAAAACGATGATCCGAGCGCCAGGGACCCGTCTACTACTCCACCAATTCCCGTTGAGGGAGCGCCGGCAGGAGCCCCGACTGGCCAAGGTTTCAAGCGGAGGGGTCATACTAGACCAACACCCGACGAAGAAGCAATACCAGAGCTAGCGTAGACCCCCCATAGCCATATATAAAAAATGAAGGAACAACACCGACACGCTCTGCTTGTCTTCACTTCACTTTGACAATCGGATATTGCTTCTTAAAGTTCGATGTAGTGCACGTTGCGCAGACCGGTAGGATGGAACGTGCCCGCCAACCTGTCTGCAAGTGTGTACCCCCGCACGCAAGTTAAAGTTTGGTCGCAAATTCACTTCACATGCAATAGAAGCCTGTCAGACTTTCGCCTCGTTGGGAAATGTGGTCAACACGCACGAGCGGCCACGAATCCTTGAGCATCCCACATCTCAATCATGAGATGAGAACGGATGCGCTAGCCAGTTCCCCCCTGGTTTAAGAGGCCCGCTTCAGAAGACATACCACACAGTGAAGGAAGAGATGTCTCGCAAAATCAAGACTAGCAAAAATCCATGCAAGCTGGTTGAAGATCTAAAGCAGACTTGCGATTAGGCGTTCATATCAAGGCAACAGCACAACCTTATTCGCACGTGTCCGCTGAAGGGAAGGGCCAACAATTTGCAGTAGATCCGCGACCAAAAGTAATGATTCTGGGGTAAGCGGAGGGCTATAGTAGCTCATTTCGTATTCTCCTCAACAAGGTGGAAGATGCCCCCCGCCCCACTTCAATGGAGTCCATTCCTTCCGCGGTATTTCGCTTACCTCTCCAGTAGATAATCTCCAGTAGATAAGCTCGGAGTGGTAGCGGTTTCACCCGCTCCACTGGGCCTTTGAATATTACGGATGCAATGCGCTCAAGGGGTGCCTTGGAGGCCACCTTCCTGCGGAATCCAGGCCTCACCTGTCCTGGCAGCTTCCTCTCTTATGCTAAGTTGAGGTTCATTTTCGTGTACTCCAATAGTCAGTCTTTGTCGAATAGTTCGTCCACGCTCACCATCAACATCGGATGCGTCGAGGCCTAAAGAAACCAAATCCCAAAGGGAATTGAAGTGGTTGCAATCGCCTCGATTTGGCAGAGCGATATATTTTATCCATCCGACAAAAGCGACTATTCCAGTCACTGCCAAGATAAGAAGAGCAGGACCGAGAGTTGCAGCAAGAAGGACTTCATTGACCTCTGTTTCCTTGCGATCACTGATGAACCTGTCCACAGACACATCGGTCTTTACTGTCAGCAGCGTCATTCCCCAAAGTGTTGCTGCAGTAATATCGGCTCGAAAGCCAAGTAATGCTGTGACAGATTTCAAGTTTTCGACAACAGCGGGCGCGTCCACAAGAAGTATGTCGGTACGTAGCTGGCCGTCGCCCTCGGTCCGCTCACTGGTAGTAATTACTACAGCAGGTGTAGAGCCGGAGGTTACGTACAGTCATCAGATTTTACCTCATCCTGCTTAGCTCCTTTAAATCCTCCGGTCCCCATGAGTAGCATGTAGCCCCTCTCGGGAGCAATGACTCTTTCGGTCTTCACCCTTTCTCGGTACGTGGTCGTCAGGTGGCAGGTAAGATCTCCAGTCGCAACTATAGACGTTACTGGGCTGTGGCACGGTACATGACAGCAATTGAAACGTGTTGATTGTGACATGGCTAGAGACCTCCTAGTTCTCTCGATGGTTAAGTTTCGAAGCAGCGCTGGACCACGACCAACCACCCGCATATTACTTATGAGCACTAGTATGCCTAGAAGCGTAGTTCCCAATATTATCATGATCCCTAGTAGGAACGGCGCTCTCACTGTAGCCACAGTTCTAGTGTTTGAGACCTGTCGCGCTGCTCGTGACGTGAGTCCACCCCTTATCCACTCGAGTCGCACTGTACTGACTGTCGCCGGACTCGCCTTCCACATGTCGTAGATCGCCCAAGCTTCGGAGTCGCGATACATAGCAAGTTGTAATGCCATCATGGCCCCTTGTTGCTCCGTCTCCTCTTGCCACAGCCGCACACGACAGGCGTAACTTTCGGCGTCAGTCCTAAAGTGGAGAGGTCGAAGACAAGTTACTAGCCCCTTCGGAGAGACTGAGAGCTTCATCTGCCATCGCCCTAGGGTCAACAAGATAGATCCACGCCGTGTCGAGACCACACGTGAAGCTCCATCCGAAGTGCGTGGGCTGTACTCCAGGCCATCTGCATCTGACTGGACATCGCCCCGGTCCGAAGGGGCTCCGAAGTACACATCAACGAGTTCAGACTCGACTTGCCACCTTCTGTCCCTGGTCGCTGCCACTTCTGGTCTTAGCATCTGCCACGGTCGACTCGTAAACGGTCTACAAACTACCTTCCACCCAGGGATTGAAGTGCCGTCCCCTCCGCAATTGACCTCGAATTGCGGTCTTGCCGGGAGCGATATCCTCAAAGGTGAGTTGGTGCGAGTGAGTGTGGTAAAAGCGACGGCTAGCCTCGTTTCCGACATGGCTTCTGCGAATATGGAACTGTCTATGTTTCCCTGTCCAATAATCTCGAGGACGTACTCTCCCATGTACCCAGAATAAATCGCGGTACGATTCCTAACTAACATTTTCCCAGGGGCTCCAGCGAAAGAGACATGGGCTAGCTGTCTAACTGCAAGCCAAGCCCCCTTGTTAATACTGTCGATGCGTTGCCAACTGCTGTCGAGTACATCCCTCTTGCGAAGATCGGCTAAGTCGTCAACGCTCGGCTTCGTCCCGTCAGTGAAGCTATAACGGCTCATCTCGGTGACCTTGAAATCCTGGAAGTAGAGCTCGCCTGCTTGGCTGGCTATATCCCAGTGGCCCAAGGACGTGTGGATTACTTCCAACTGCGGCAGCGCATGCGCCTGTTGGTATCCCGCTCCCAGCCGGGGACCTGCCAATACTTCCTTAGCCCCTGAGCCAAACTCTAACGCCAGATCCGAAACGAACAAAAGCATTGCCACCGCGTTGATCAACCAACGAACTTTCCAATTTTTTGCGTCCTCCTCCGCTACTAAAGAGCTTCGCGTGAACGTCCTGGAACGTAGTTGGACTTCTCCTCCTCGCGCAACCACGCACCCGGCCGCACTAGCGCCAATAGAGCTCCACAATTTGCTCAAGAGGCTAGTCACGCCCACACTTATGAACATGAATCGCGCCACGTTCCATAACGGTACCGGTACCGGGACCGTGTACTCTTGTTCTAGGAATCCGTACATCTGGGTGGAGAGTTGATGCGCTTGTGCCTAAAGTTGTCTTCCTGCGCTTGATAATTGACCAACAGAAAATTAAAAGACGGGTAGAGGCATGGAGGTGGAAGTGTGGCGGTTGAGGAGCCTCTCGCCTACGCCGCCGGCGAAGCGCCTCGCCGGCGGCGTAGGCGAGAGGCAACGCGGGGGGAAGACACCGAGGTTGGCTTGGCGCGAGACCATAGGCGGTGACGGCAGAGGGCGGAGTAAGGGTCTTAGCTCTGTGGTAAATAAAGATGTAAAGTTCATGCCTTAATTTGACATGAAAGAAAATTTTCAGGAAAGGAAATGCTAAAAAGAGCATAGAATAGGAAAGCGTGGCTCGTTTTGCTCCTTTTTCCTCCAATCGAAAGCTTACAGCAGCTTCTGCATGACTAAAATCTGATATGTTGGCAGTGTCTCAGAGCCACCGCGCAGGGAAGCTCGTTGTGACCATCAAAAACAGTGCTCAAATCACATAATCCCAAATTTGACACAAGAATGATTGAGTTTGGCCCAATACAAATTAATGCAAATAACTACCCTCGTACTCGGTGTCAATGTGTGCTGCCAAGCACACTTTTCCCTTGAGCAGCAAGCCTTCGACGAAGGAAGCGACGGTGGTTCCTTGTGTCACTTAAGCGCTTTCTTTTTTCAATGCGCTCATCAGCAAGGGCGACATATCTCCGCATTGCAACTGCCGACTCAGCCCTCGCTGCGGAACCCTCACCTTGTGCTCTGCTTTTAGTTCTCCTTCCCTCGTTTTGTGCTCGTTTTTCTTCCCTTTCGTTGAGAGCTTGCAAAACAAGTTCGCTTGTCAAATGAGCTCCATTGCAGTACTGATCCTGACGCGCCCTTCGTCCTCCACGTCTGCATCCCTCAGTAAAGATCTCTGGCTTTTGTTGAAAGCAAGAATAAGTTTCTCTACAGTAACCTCGTCACCAACTTTAAAAAGTCTGGAAAGCGATTACGGTTGAGAATTCGGGGCATTAGCGCACCAGTGACGGAACGCCGTTCTAATCTTCGAGACGGAAACTTTGTGCTTGATAGCTAGAGACTTGTAAGGGGTAGGGGACTCTCTCTGCCGATCGAAAACCGCTTCCCGAAGACGAAACGTTTCGGAGTCCATCGTTGAAGAGGTGGCGGTTCTTTGCAGTTCTTTGCAAAATAGAAGGATATATAGTGTCGTGTGTCACGAAAAGGCGCCAATGTTTGAATCGCAGGGGAGTCCGGCCTTTGTCCATCGCCATAAATCGTGGAATAGGGGACTATCTTTGGAGAAAGACGAAGTTGTGTTAAGAGAACAGTGTTTCGGTGTCGGGCTTCGCGGGAAATGCTGGGCTGACGATCAAATTTTCGACATGTCAAATTTATCCGATTTGCTAAATTAGGGCATGTCCTGTTACACATTAAGTTAAACAAACGGCATAAAGGGGGGGTGCCCTCCAGTCCGGACCAATGGTGCAGTATTGGCCATCTAAACCCTCATAGATATCCGTGCAAAATGATTTTAGAACCAATAGAAAGCTACGATTCCCCTCTTTCTTACATGTTGTGATCATACACAGCCAATAGAATAAACTAACAGGAGCTGCCAGCAAGTACATCCCTTTGTAATGAAGACAAATTGCTCTAAAGATCGGACACAAATCATCCTATTTTTATTCAAAAAATTAAATCTCAATCTCTAATATTTGTCTACAGTGCATTCCCAGTACGTACCTCTTTTCTTCAGGGTCTGAATCTGCGCAACAACTGTGCGCTCTGGCATAGAACGGCATTGCTTCTGGACGTCCGGACAGACGTCGCATTTTACTGTACACTCATATTTGGAAGGCCATGTTTGAAACTCCCGCCTAAACACAATTGCGGTGCGCGGGTTCGACTGGTAAGAATTATTTTTAAAAGTAACCACGTGTTTTTCCGGTACGGCCTGCTGAAAAGAAGGAAACAGAGGAGGAATGGCTGGCCGGGGCAGAGAAACTCACTTTTCATGCCTGTTTACGAGAATTCCTGATTTTTTGATTAGAGCACTTTTGTCCGGAGTTGAGGGCACCCCTCTTTTACACCGGCATACACCGATGGCGTGAGTAAAGAGACGTTAAATTAAAACAAAGGACAGCTTACAGTTATAACGCTACTTACAGTAAATGTTTACTCCGTAAAATTCCCGAGTAAACCTTTACTCGCAAGCACATTAACATTCACTCGATGTCGAGTTGAACGTTGCCGGTAAACGTTTACTCGGTAAAATTCCCGAGTAAACCTTTACTCGCAAGCACATTAACATTCACTCGATGTCGAGTTGAACGTTGCCGGTAAACGTTTACTCGGTAAAATTCCCGAGTAAACCTTTACTCGCAAGCACATTAACATTCACTCGATGTCGAGTTGAACGTTGCCGGTAAACGTTTACTCGGTAAAACTCCCGAGTAAATCTTTACTCGCAAGCAGATTAGCAATCACTCCATGTCGAGTTGAACGTTGCCGGTAAATGTTTACTCCAGAATTTTACCGAGTAAACATTTATTCGCAACCAGGTTAACCTTTACTTACGGAAAAAAGCGCGCGAAACCGCAACAGTCTTCTCGTAATGCTGCGAAAAGTTAGATTTTTGGGATACATATAAAAGCAAACCCGAATATTTTTGTTATCGGGCGCTCACTCTCATTACAGAAAACGAGACGGGACTCCCGGAAGCAATTTGCAAATCGTCCTTTTCGGTTTCGTCGGGCGATCGTTGTCATCCACTTTCGCGACTGTTGTTGTCCAGAATATGGGTGTTGTGGTATTTATCGCTCTCTGTTTCGTTTCTAGAGCGACACTACTGGATCTGATACTTCAACTGACTTTTTAGCCTCCGAGTTGTGTTTCATCAACAGGGGCAGAGGGAAAAGGAATAACGATCTGCGTGTGCCGGCGTAGAGAGGACAGGGACGACCACTAAGGATCCACAGCCGAGACGCAATCTGTCTCTCGCGGGGCTATAGCCACTGTTATTGCGAATGCAGACTTCTCGATCTGCGGATGAGACTGCTGTGGCTTCCTGCTCGAGCGACGGACTGGGTCCAGTTTAAGGATCGTCATCACCGACAGCGAGCCGGAACATCTTTGGGATTCAAAATGGTGTTGAAGGTGACGCCAATAACGACCCGAAGGTCAGCCGGTCACCTCCTGCGTTTTTGAAGCGCAATTGCCCTTTGTAGCCCAAGTCACTGCCTTTTCAAATCTGGCAAACCGTAGAAGCGAAATATCTTCGTGCGCACAGCTACTGCAGCAGATAATATATAAGCACGGCTACGTTTCAATCCCTCTCCGCATCTCGATTCCCCAGTGAAACAAAACGTCGGCGTTGGAGGCGCCACCCATCGCAAGTATATTGCATGTGAAGGACACCATGCTGATTTTTCTATTACGTAGAAGTAAGTGTAGTATAACGACCGTCGCGCGCGCGGAGAGGTTATTAACCGTGCGGCCGTGCACGGTGCACACGTGGGCGGGTGTGCTCACGTGTAGGGAGCGCGCGCGTTGACCAACCGGCCGTGGCGTGGCGCACGTGTACAGTAGCACACGTGTCGTCCGTGCGGTAGTCTGTGAGCAACACGCGTGTACAGTAATGCACACGTGTAGTAGCAGCGTCCGTGCGGTAGTAGTAATTATGGCGCTAGCTTTATAATTGTGTACAGTACCCGGCACGCACTAGGCGGCAGGTGCTGTATACTGGGACAGGTGTCCGAGGCGTCCCTCGGAAGGGTTAAGACCTGACACCCGTCCCCACCAGTAAACGGGGGCAAGCTCGTCCCCGTCTCTTTTGCGCCTACGTACGTCCGTTTTCGGTTGTCTGTCGCGCGCGCTGGCTTCTAACCCGTTACCGGTCCCTCCCGTTCACGCACCACGGGGCGACTGCGCGTAACCGGCCAGTGAGCCACTCCCTTTTCGCGAGCTCGTGCGATCGGTTTAATTAGCGCGTCGCGTCCGCGCCGCGTGCTCCCTCGCTAAAGTCTCCGCCTCTCACCCAACCCAGGGCGGAGAGGAGTTATCCCACAGTAAGCAATGATCACTTAAACGATAAAATAGCTTGACCCTTATTTAGAATTTGACAAGATCAAATATCCGCTGAAATATGCCTTTGAATGCACGAACAATGAGCTGCGATGCGACTGGAGAATCGAGTTTCACGGATATCGAAACTATGCGTATCATGAACGCAGAAGTGTATTTCTAACATACCGAATAGTAGTAAATTTGTTTGTTCGCTGTGTGCAAACCCTATGAAAATCGCGCTGTAGGTAAGGCATTCTCCTATTATGAGCATGCCTTACCTAACGCGATTGTTCAAAGTCTCATTTTTGAGCTTCGAGTACCAAATTAGAGGGACTCGAAACTCAAAATCAGAATTGCTGCGAGGCATGGCCAGGGGGCGCTTCAGGGGTGGAGCAGGTACTGCACTGCGCATACGTACAGTATTCTCATTTTGAGTTTCGAGTACCAAAAAAATAAGACTCGAAACTCATTATGAGTTTCGAACCTCCGAAAAAAGGGACTCGAAACTCATTATGAGTTTCGAAACCCCGAAAAAAGGGACTCGAAACTCATTATGAGTTTCGAACCCTCCAGAAAAGGGACTCGAAACTCAAAATGGGAATGGCGTCGAGGCATGGCCAGGGGGCGCTTCAGGGGTGGAGCAGGTACTGTACTGCGCATACGTACAGTATTCTCATTTTGAGTTTCGAGTACCATAAAAACGGGACTCGAAACTCATTATGAGTTTCGAACCCCAGAAAAAAGGGACTCGAAACTCAGGGCCAGTCCTAACAGGCGCTTTTCTTTTCTTTTGTTTTCCTTCAACCAGTTGCGGTCACGCTATTGGCCGGATCATTTCATTAAATTAATCGCACGCCACAACGAATGCTACACAGAACCACTGTAATGCTTGGTAATTCTGCGAACTGGTCGAAATCCATTGGCTAAAGGAAGTACCAATCCACACCCAGTCCATATGCACACTACTAAAATTCCATGGACTCGATGCGGTGCAGTGGCACTTGCAGTACAATGAAAGGGTGGAATTAAATCCAAATACGAGCACATGCAGATCAAAGCATTAGTTCTCTCAACATTACAAACCAGACACAGTACCTTCTCCCGCCATTTTATGTGCACAACTCGGCCCTCCCCCGCCTCGACGCCCACGTGAAATTTGCGACAGTCGTTTGCTAGCATTTTACACTCTGTTTAGGAAACGGAGCACCACCGGACGGCAGAAGGGTACCCAGAGTTCAGCACCCAGAGTTCAGCTTTTTGAAATCAAATGCCTCCTTGGCATCGATCATGAAATGGAGAGAAGCCGGGGAGGCTGCTCTCTAGTTCATGATCGATGATGAAGTGGCTTCGCCGAAATCCCTTTCCTGTGAACCACCCCGCCCTCGCTCCCTCCCCCCCGCCACCAACCCCCCTTCCCCCCCAAATAAGACCACGTCCCCTCCTCCCCGCCACCCCCCTTCCCCTCAATATCCCCACGTCCCCTCCCCGCCACCCCCCCTTCCCCCCCAAAATCCCCACGTCCCCTCCTCCCCGCCACCCCTACCTCGCGCCCGACCACCACGCCCCATCACCATCTTCCTCACCTCCTCAGTACCGTGACCAACACACATCCTCCGACATGCTATTGTCCCCGCCACCGCGTCATCCTCCTAACATCGACACCGACACAGTCTCTCCCCGCACCCTCCATCCCTTCCATATCTTTCGTTTCATATCTCAATCCAGCCCAGTTTTGGTCATGCACATCGAGGGACTTCATTATAGCAACAAGTCGTCCAGCTTTGCTTTTGTCGAGCTACAGGGAGTCAGACTGGGCCATGTGCATGCGCGAGGAGGCGTTGCTGTACCTTCCATGCTGCATGGATCTGCAGACCGTCCAGACTCTGTTCCATTTCCGAGGAGTGGAACTATGGGATGGCATTACAGTAAAAACTACAGCAATGTGCTTCCGATTTTAGTGAAGAACTCAATAAAAACGGGGCGAGGGAAAGGAAAAACGAGAGGAAAGTCCTTTGTTAGGACTGGCCCTCATTATGAGTTTGGAGTCCCCTCTTTTTGGGGATCCAATCTCAAAATGAGAATGCTGTACCCGAAAGGTACAGTACATGCTGGTTGCGCATGGGGTGATGGATGACACGATTCCCGCAGAGGACGCGTGGGAGGTCGGAAAGGTGAGCAGCAGGCTGGTCGTGGTGGTCAAGGGGGCCGGGCATGGGTTTTGTCGGGATGGTGAAGAGGGTCGACGAGGTGGTAATGGCGTCTGCGAAAGGCTCTCGTTCATGGCAAGCGTGTGAAAAATGAGGCACTGCGTCTTATTGAAGAGGAAGCAGAGGAGGATTGGACAAGGAACCGCGCTTTGTTGGACCGGTTCATCTGGGAGATTCTACACAAGGGCATTGATGGGAATTTAATAGCGATGAATTACCGTGTTGACGAAGAGGGTGAGGGGGCATACGAGGGCGAGTCATTTATGAAATGGTACGGCATGGATGATTCCGATCGTACTGTTAAAAAGGAGAAGCACCCTGTACCGGGAGGCAAGAAGGAAGTCTCCAAGGCTGAAGGCACTGTGACCGGCGCCCCAGCCAAAACAGAAGACACGATCGATGATGATGAGATATAGAGTTCGAATATTGGAAAGCCCTCTACACAGCAATGCAAGAAACGAAAGCGAAAAGTAGAAACCTCTTTTGCCGACTTTCTCGGCCCCAAGGGCCATGTCGGCAATCTCAACATGGAGGGTCTGTTGAGTCACATGCTGCGTATGCCAGGTGTGAACCACTCAATGTTCTACGTCGGTCACATGTTTACGCGAGTTTGTTGGCACACCGAGGATGCCTTTTTGAAATCAGTTTCCCACCTTCACATCGGAAGCGCTGACAAGACTGGGTACGCTATACCCCAGAAATACGCAGAGGCCTTCGAGACATGTGCGGCCGGGAATGTTTTCAATGGTCGGCTAGCCTAGGACTAGCCTCCTGCACAGAGATCTCTGATGTGCAACACAACCATCTTTGATCAGAGGGAACTGAAAATCCGAGGGATTGAATGAGATCGTATTCAGCACAAGCCAGGTTCCTTTGTATTGACAGCACCTCGTGCTTATCATGATAGATTCAACTGCGGTTTTAATATCGCCGAGGCTGTGAATTTTGCCAACCCAGGATGGTTCCCAATCGGCCGACAAGCGTCCCTCTGCGCTCGCCGAGGGGCCTACGCTTTGATTATACCATACGAATACCTTCTGCTTCATAAGGCCAAGTCGCTACGAGATGCGCACTTAGCTACTACGAACATAGAGAGAATACCGCCACGCACAAAGAGCGATGCTCGTATCCCTTCCGGTGCGCTTGGGACAGTGATGGAAGAGGGGGAAGGAAGGCTGACGGAATACGCTCAGTCGACCAACTGCCGGATCGTCATGTTGAATGGCATTTTGTAATTTTGGACTTGCTCGACCACGACTTTTTTCAGTAGTGTGCCCGCGGGTAGGCCGTGGGCGTCGCAAAGGTGATCCTTGATCTGGTGCATGCGGGCGATGTGGGGCGTCCCTTCCGTGAAGGCAACGATGGCGCCGGTGGCAGCGCCGCCGTGCTCGACCGGGGCGCCGGCCATGAGCGAGAGCTGAAGGAGAATCTGGGTTTTGCCAGCGCCGGCGACGCCGCTGAGCTCGACGATGGAGGCGGTGCCGAGCGGGATTCCGCCCCTGAGAAGGCGGTCCAGGGAGACGCAGGAAGTGGAGAAGGTGGTGGGGGATTGGAGGAAAGAGTGGAAGGGGCGGAAGACGGGGGCAGACAGGCCCTGAGCTTCCAGGGCCGCGGTGGAGAGGTAGGGGAGCAGGGCGGGCGGGAAGGAGCCGATGACCGGGCGGGAGAGCTCTTCTAGGATGGAGGCGGCGCCGCGCGCGGCTATGATTGTTTGGGCTTTGGAGATTAGGACGGCTTCATCGTCGGAATGCGACGGAGCGGTTGGAGTTTGAGTGTTTGTTGTTGTCATCGTTTGACGGAGCTGTCGAAGGTTGATGCTCCAGATGGAGACGAGGTAAGGTTCATGTTTTGGTTTCACGGGCCGCAAGGAACGTGACCTGGGCTCCTTCGTGAGGAGACGAAACGAAACAATGGAAAAGGAGGATGAGCACGAATTGATCCGCTGGCAATCCCGGGGATCCCTGGCTCTGTACTGTACGTTGCAGACTTATCCACCAACAACGGTCATTCACTGTAATCTCACCCTTACAGCATGAAGCGACACGAGATATCAGAGATACTCCCTGGCATCAGCGGTTCGTCCACTTGGCCATACAGAAGAGGCTTGCCTGCGAAGAGGCACCCGCCAAGGTCATCGCTGCGGTCACCGTATCTCCCCGCTCTCAGTGTTTTTTTTCGGGCAAGCACGGGCAAGCACGGGCAAGAACGCGCTTGTTAAGACACACCCTCACCTATATTTTTTCGCCAGATGACCATCACGCCGTTACCCTCGGGAGCCCATCGCCATCACTTTCCAGTCACTCTTGCGCAGCGGCACACTTCTCCCTTTCTCCAAGACCGCCTTCCCTTGTTTCCCCCGCCCTCCCCCTTCCTGACAACAACTATGTCAACACCAGGCTTTGTATCGCAGCGCTGCCAGCGCTGCGGCCTGCTTCACCCATAGACCGCATCCAACAACCGCATCTTCAAAATGCTCGCACTTCGCTGGCCGCGCCCTCATCTCACTAACCTCGCTCCCTGCCCGCGCCCGCCCGACCTACACCCCAATCCAGATGAAGAAAGGCCGCTCCCGCCAGCCGCTGCAACCGCGCCGCGCGCAAGACCAGATGTCACTTCCAGAGGACGGCACCCCTGTCTTCGCCATCTTTGTCTGTACCCCGCGCGCGAAGCTCTGGTATCCAATGGGCGCCGTCCAAGGCGATGATCGCTCCAAAAATCTCGTCAATGCACTCAAGGGCGGCTTCGCAAAGGGCATGTATGCCAACGCATTGGACAAGGGCATTGCACAGACGGTGTACGGTAAGGGCGGGGACAAGTTTGTTCAAAGTGCCGTTCGCATGTACCCGCAGCTGAAAAAATACACAAAGCAGCTCGAGTTTGGGTACAGGGTCACGGCTATCGGCCTCGATGAGCAGCCGACGAAGCTGGTCTCGAAGGAGATGGCACTACCTTTTGTGGAGTGGGCGAAGAAGCAGCTAGATAATGTCTTCAAGAAGAAAAAGTAGCCTTTGCCAAAACGGCACCTGCTTGTCCTTACACACGAAGGCTGCTATCGTTCGAAGCCGGAGGCTCTCGTTCTTGTAAATGAAGCACATGGACGGAATCCCGTAACCGAATCTGTTGGCCGTTTCTCCATCTTTAGCCAAAGCGCGAAGGCACTAACAGCTACCTACTAGACCAATCTAGTCCTCTAAAATCAGTCTTTGGAAGAACTTTGCAACTGCCGTATCCGCGCCATACGTTCCGGCAACGTCGATGCCTTGTCCCTTGTGTCTTCCGCAGACAGTACTCTCTCCACAGTTCCGTTTTCCTTTTCCGTTCCTGCAACACCATCCACCTGAGTACGATCTCCTGTTTGCAGACCGTAGCGTAACTGTATTTCCTGGAGCCGTTTAAGATATACCTGCCCAGCGCTATGCCCTGAAATGTCACCAGCGGACGGCATTTCCATGTCTTCCATCGCCCCCGGAATGGAGCGACGAATTGGAACCGAAGCATCCCTGTAGCCGTTGCCAAAGGCTTGTTGCCATGTTCCTCTGTCGGGTCTACTTACAATGTCCCTTTGAGACTCCTCGCGACTCAATCTATCCAATCCGTTCCTGACAAAGACCTGCATGTCTTGATCGTACTGTGCAAAGTGCGCATCCAACGCAATAACACCGCTTCTTTCAAGCTCATTTTGTAATTGCCGTAGAACTGAATCTGACTTCATACCCTTGTCGATGTTCGAAAGACACCATGTGATCACAGCTCCGCTGTCCTTTCGATCACCCACCGACCCAAGTTGCTGTGCAGCTTCACTGCTTTCCAAAGATTCATCCCGGCCACCTGGAGTCATATCAATGTCGTGAACCAACTGCGAACCTTCCGCTTGGGGAATTAAACTGATATGGGAACGAATATCCTTTCTCATTACGTCAATTATCGCATTCACAACCGTCTTCAACAACCGCATCGCAAAGATTTGGTCTTCCGCGGATGGGTTCCCATCTCTGCGCACAGGATTTTCCACTAAAGTAGATGAATATCTCTGAGCAGCGCGTCCATCCTACAATCTGCGAGCCCCCGCTCCGGTACTTTCGCGATCGACTTGATACATATGGACGACTTTGCCAGTGAACGTGACATTCGTGCAGATCCCGAGTGCTGCTGCATTTCCTTGATATTCTCGAGTAGAAGATTAATCATGGTTGTGTATTGCAATAATCCGATTGCATGACTCCAGCACTTTGACAATCATTAAATTAACCCCTCGCCTCACTTGATTCCAGTATTCTACGCCGACAACGGCTTGTGGAAGCATAGAATTGAGTGCAGCAGCAAGCAAGCTCTCCACGGAAGACTGGTCGAGTTTGCGGAGAAGTTCAGGTTCTCGCGCGAACCTGGTAACACCCTTCAAAACGACTTCAAAACTGCCGGGTCGTCTTCCTCGGCTGTACCATTTTCGGGTCAACACAGACTCTCTGTAAAACACTTGCCCAACTGAAGGAGCAAGGCCGAACTACCTATGTACGTTAATAAATTTCCTTCGCGCCTCAGGTCATCAAAAATTGAAGTGGACGCGTTGGTCGAGGTGGCACGGAGCACAAAGCTAAACTGGAACGGCAGTCTTGGGGTGTCAGACTGATCAGTGTTCGCTTGGATGAGCAAGTTTCTACCGGCAGTAGGGCGTTGCTCGCTCGCGAGGCGAACGACAAGTTGTCGTTCGCCTCGTCACTAAGGACCTACCAGATGTTCAACATCTGGTAGGTCCTTAGTGACGTCGACTGTAACAAGCTTGGCGGCGTCGTACACCCGTGACGGCACTATCGCCGCTCGGCGACACAACGGTGACAGACAGAAAGGCCTTGGAAGGTTCATAGCGAGGCAGAGCAACGACGAGCGGGGAAGAGTCTGGAGCGGTGATGCGAGCGCGGCTTGGCAAGGAGACGGCGGCGGCGCCCGCTATAAAACTGGGAAGGTTTACATGCAATCGGGAGAGACTGCAAAGGTTAGATCTGCCGTGCCCAAATTGGAGCGAAAAATGATTTGAGCATCAAAACTGGAGCACGGGGATGTAGCGATGGAGACGAAGTCGGGGTAGATGAAGACGGTGGGGCGCAGTGTGCGATTAGAAGAGATGATGATGGGTGAGTTGAGGTCGATAGAGTTGAGATCGGAGTTGGGTGTGGCGCAGAGGCGGAAGGTGAGCGAATGGGACGCTTTGCCGTTGCTGGGCGTGAGGACAAGTGGGACGGGAGGGGAAAGGCCAAACGCGAGGCGGCACGCTTGGGAGGAAGCCAGGTCGAAGAGGAGCAAGAAGAGGAGAGATCGGGATAATGTCGAAAGGGATGGGCGAAGCGCTCCATGGCGGGGGTGAATTGGGAGGCGACGGAGGAGAGGGTAGACTGTCAGAGCGGTGGACGACCGCGTATGGAATGGATAAGCATACCCTAGGAGGTCTGGGTCTGGGGGTTTGCAAGTACTCAGAGTCAATTGCATGGGAGTGGTCGCAACTCATTTGGAGTTTCGAGTCCCGTTTTTATGATGGTACTCGAAACTCAAAATGAGAACACTGTACGTATGCACAGTACAGTACCTGCTCCGCCCCGGAAGCGACCCCTGGCCATGCCTCGACGCCATTCCCATTTTGAGTTGCGAGTCCCTTTTTTGGGGCGTTGGAAACTCATAATGAGTTTCGAGTCCCTTTTTTGGGGGGTTCGAAACTCATAATGAGTTTCGAGTCCCATTTTTTTGGTACTGGAAACTCAAAATGAGAATACTGTACGTCTGCGGAGTACAGTACCTGCTCCGCCCCTGAAGCGCGCCCTGGTCATGCTTCGCGGCAGTTCTCATTTTGAGTTTCGAGTCCCTTTTTTGGGGGGTTCGAATCTCATAATGAGTTTCGAGTCCCATTTTTTTGGTACTCGAAACTCAAAATGAGAATACATTACGTAGGCACAGTACCGTACCTTCTCCGACCCTAAGGCGCCCCTAAGAGGCGGCTCAGAGGAATGATGATGATCTCGAAGCATGCGCAGTATGCATTTGCTTTGAGAGAATTCTCATTCTGAGTCTGAACTCTTGACCGTAGAATAGACAGTTCATGTACTCACCTGTGACGTTACGTTTTGTGGTTCTTGGTAAAGTGTAGCCGTTTCATTGAGAGCATTTTAATATGTTTTTGCTTACGAGAACTACTTACATGCGGAGAAGATTTACATTTGAATCCCTATCTTCAGAAAATTGTAGTCTCACTGATTTATAAAGTCAGCTTTTGCGGATCGAACAAGATGATCATTAACAATTCCGCAACAGCGAATGAGCTAGAGAAAGTCATTACTCTTACTGATCCACATACTTTCCAAAGAGAAGACCAGAGTCTCATATTTCCCTTTTGATGTTAGAACTCATACACTGTCATCATCATTCCATGACAAGTCACAAACGTATTCCGTCATGGACGTGAAGGAGACAAGTGGCTTCCAAAGAATTTTGTCAGTGGGATTGTGAGAGCGTCTGCGTTCGTGTGTCATGTACGATGTTTGTTTAAGAATAATGACAGGGAGCCTGCAATATCATAGTTCTCTCGATATTTTCATGCTTGAAAGAAGTGAGAATGGCGTTCTGCATGTAATCTGCGGTCAGAAAAGTCGTCAGGAATTAAATAAAATGGTTTATTGCTTCAAAGCTAACGAAAACTATGATGGGGGCGTTCTCTTTCCGGAGAACAGGAAAATCATGCAAAGCGGTGATACAAAGGCCTCAGATTCAAATTGTGCGCTGGGACCATCTTCATTTAGTAAGACAAGCCACGGAAATAGTGAAACGTTCGAGCAGCATCTTTCCGAAAGGAGGGAATAAAGGGATGGTAGTGCCTTTACAAAGCAGTCTGCGAAGCGTTTCGCACGGTATTTGTTCTTCTCAGTGCAAACAAATCAGCAGTGAGTATTGTCAATACATCAGGACTCCGACTGCATCACAAGGAGCCCCAGGGATAGTGCAAAAATGGCAACTAGTCCCTAAGACATGGGAAACATATCTAGAAGAGCGTATTTTCTTATTTGTATAGATGGGAAAGCTTAGAGATCGGACAATGAAAGTTGAAATGCAATGCCAGCATTTTATGCCCTAATTAGGATTCTGAGTTGCCTAATGAAGGAATTCAGAATGTCATCACAAGAATTTGTGTTAATTTCCGGCAAGGAAGTGACACAGGATCTTGTCCTGCGCAAAACTATCTCGACGTTGTTTTTGAAAATCCAAACGAGTGGCGAAGATATAAGGAACGTTCAAGGCTTAAAAAGTAATGAACCGGTGGTTGACATTATTGATGTTGACGCTTCTGATAGAGACCGGTAAGCAGGCACGAAGTTAAATTGGTAAACAAAGTTATGTGTTGAATCTATCTGTGTTATCCCATTGAGTCCCGTATCTTCTCTCGTCAATACGAAGGGAACTGCGAGCTTTGCAAACTTTGTTACGGGAACTTATACCTATTAACCGTTTAACTCAACTACAATTTTGAGTATAGAACGCCTTGTATGGTTTGTACTACAACCATAACTTTAAAGCCACATGTTTTCATGGCACCTTTGTTGGAGTGTTTAATGTTTAATGAGCGGCAAGTAAAAACTTATTTCCACGGGGTATGTGGTGTCAACCTTATTATGAGTTTCGAATCCCTTCTGTTTGGTGGTCCCTGTTTCGGAGATTAGAGACTCATAATGAGTTGCAAATCCCCTTTTTGGTATTCGAAACTCATAATGAGAGTACAGCATAGGATGACATCCGAAGTAATGTGTTTGACGGAGGTGATTTAGTGATCACCTTTTCCGTTGCCCTAAGAAATGCGGTCCCATCGAGAGGACACCATAGATGAATTTCTCCCTACCGGCTGCTCACGTGCTAGTAATGTCGCCTTACTAAAACACTCAGTATCTTGAAGTCTCACTACATATATTAAACTTATTCAGGATGTCACCCCCCATTTGGGCGCTATCCCTTCTCACTTTTGAGTGACTTCATTCCATTCACCCAGAATGCTCTGTAACAGCTTCACGCATGGAATAGAATTGGGCTTTGCAGATCACACCCATAAATAATGTGAAAATATATATATATATATTTGTATGGTGTACCGTAGAACATCTCGCTTTTTCTCTGCCGAACCAGGCCAATTTATCTCGTCTTGGAAACCAAGTGCAGTGCGTATATTCAAAGAACGCCTCTGCGCATGCAGAAAGGGCATTCGCATATTGATATGCTCAAGGGCACATAAATGTGAACTAATAAATGTTTACTTGTTGATGGGTGGTCAATGTTTACCCAGTGGCAAGTAAATGTTTACTTGTTGACGGGTGGTCAATGTTTACCCAACGGCAAGTAAATGTTTACTTGTTGACGGATATTTCGACTGGACAGGCGGAGTGCTGTGATAGGTTGCAATACTTTGAGTTTTTCAAGAAATTCAATGGCTTCTTTTGCCCCTACTGTAATTGAGTTTATTGAGAATTGTATTAAAATCACGGTGCATATCGCGTATGATAAAAAACTTTATTTACAACCAGGGAGAACCCGGCGGAGCAACGGGCTCGCCGGTGCGGGGGTCGAGACGGATCTGGTTGCCCACGGTGTGGACAAGGGAGTGGGCGTCAGCGAGTGTGGCACTCGAGATTAAGGAGGGGGACACAAGGCAGCAAGTGCCGCACGGGCAGCGGCGAGGATCAGAACCGAAGAACCGGGGGCGGGACACTTGGCAGCTCGATCGAGGGGGCAAGGCGCTACAAACAGAGAGGTGGAATGTGGAGTGGAAGGCGGGAAAGAAGTCTTTTATTTTTGAAGATGATATTTTTATTCAAATGTGTGATTCCACACAAAATCGGAGCCATTACAGTTGAACAGAGAATAAATACCTGGTAGCTTGAAGCCCTCCCTCTCAGGGGGGATAGGGGTGAGGGACAAGCGGAAAAGTGATTCAGCGAACCATAGGTTATGGGCCCAACGACCACTAACGCGCAAAACCCACCACGGATCCCCAAACCGATCGCGCCAAGAGGGCCACAAGACGCGCCGACGCCCGCGACAGACAAGAAATATCAAACTAACTTTACGCCTCAGCGCTAATCAACAAATCCGAGAACGAACAACCACGAGACAACACACAAGGAACCAATATGACTCACCAACATAACCATCTACCAACCCTCACAAAAACCAATTATACATTTTGGTACGACGCGCTACACATTTATGCACGCACGATCAACGCTGAAGAACTCGTAGAATCGCCACCCACACCTACCAACGACCCTGCTCTATCCCAACAACAGCAACAAAAATGCCGACAACATCAAAACAGCCATAATGAGAAGTATCAGCCCGGACCTTATCCCGATGCTACCACCCACCATCCTTCGCCAACAGCCACACACCATATGCGCAATAATCAAAGCTGATGTTCATGAAACAAGTATCGAACACCACGGAGTACTAGATGCCCAAGCGCACAACACTACATTTAAGCCAGGAGATGATTTCGGCGACTATGTCGCTAAACACCAAACCATCAGACACAAGATGATCATAGCCGACTACCCCAATATAGCAGCCGAACGTACAACCATCAATTAGATGATACACGGCCTCGTACAACATCCCGATCTCAGCAATCTGGCACTCCTAATGGCCGGAAATCCACAAAGCAGCATTCGCGCGTTTCAAAATCATATACAGCAAGTTTTGATCATGCAACAAAGAATGCAAACGACGACCACCAACCCCTTACTGCCTTGACCCACATACCATATCCTATGCCCACAACGCAAGAACCATACCGCACACGAGCAAACCACAAAAGTCAAGACTACGAAACAAACCCACCCACCTCAAAAAAGGGAAAACGGCCCCCACAGAAACCCCACATACTTCTCACATAGCACCACGACCACAAGCCAGATTACAATTACGTAACATGGCCCAACCAAAGAACAGCCACCATTACCCCTCACCGGCACAGACCGTCCTCCATGATTGGCATCTACGTCTCGGATACATACATCCAAAGACAATCAGCGCAATGCCGAAGCATAGAATGTTACCCCCCTGCCGAAGTCCGTTCACGCCTCTAAACACCAAATAACATGCACAGGATGCATAGATGGCAAAACCGCACGGAAACCGCACAATCGAGCACAACATACTAAAAATATAGGGCACAGTCTATCCTCTGACGTCTGTGGTCCGATAAAACCCACATCCACACACAATAGCAAATACTTCATGACATTGATAGACACAGCAACACAATATGCATGGGTCATTTTCCTCAACAATCGCGCGCAAGTCCCACAAACACTCACAAACGCAATCCAACAGGTAGCCAACAGACGAGGATACTACCCTAAATTGCTAACAACAGACAACGCCAAAGAATACCCCGCATCCAGCGTCCAGTCGTACCTCACATACAGAGGAATTCAATTTCGACCGACCACACCGTACACCCCACAAGAGAACTCTTTGGCAGAACGCATTAATCGCACTATAATGAACAGCGCAAGGGCAGCGCTAGCACACAGCAGACTTAGGCAGAACTATTGGCAAGACGCAGTCACAGATGCTATTTTCAAATATAGCATCACATACCACTACGCAATACAAAATTTACCGCACACGCTATGGCATGGTGCACCCCCCAAAATCAAGCACATCTTCATCTTTGGACAACTTGGGTTCGTACCCATATTGAAACCACAGAAAACGAAACTGCAATTACGAGCGCATCCGGCCAGATACCTCTACGGTATCGATGACGAACATATACAAATATACAACTTGTACACCAAACAAAAACAAAACGTACGCTTGAAAAAGTTCAAACCATACTACAGAACATCCAACCCTTGCGTCACCACAGCTGTAGCATTCAAACCCCAGAGAAAGCGCCAACACATTCTACAAACAATCAACACAACAACTCTGCTACCGCGCTCCACATCACAAGCCCGCAGCTATCCGGACGCAACGGAATGGGCAAAGGCACATAACAGCGAGTTACAACAGCTCGATCGCATGAAAACTATTGCATGGGATGAACCAGCTACGAACACACCAAGGAAGGAAATTATTACGATGACAATAACGTACAGATACAAAATTAACCCAGCCACAAAGGGCATCACGAGGAAAGCCCGGTGCTCAGCGAGAGGAGACCTGATGGTCCCCCACACACACTATGACCCTGAAGCAACGGCAACATTCATGGCAGACAAAACGACTATCCGCACATTATTTGCACTGGCAGCCAAACAAAAAATGTTCCTAGAGCATTATGACATAACTGGAGCATACCTTTATGAGCAATATGATCACGAAAAACCTGTATATGTGTGGCAACCACCACAATTCGACGGCACATACAAGCATAAAAACACCACAGGGAGACTGAAAGGAAACATATACGGAACACCACCGGCCGCACACACGTACAGCAAAAACCTTCATAAACACCTCGCAAACCACGGATACCGACAGCTGAAATCCGATCCATCCGTATTTACAAAAAAGCGAAACAACGAACTCATTATGATAGCCATAAGCATGGACGACTTTTTGTCTGTCTTAATGACGAACTGTACACAGTGCTCACATCCAAATACCGAACCAAAAGACTAGGGAGGCCCAAGTCATACTTAAATTGGCATGTTCAATACAGCTCGAAAGGAATACACCTATCACAACCGCAGCACATACAACAAGTAGCACAACTCATGCGAATGGAGGACAGCAACTCCATGTCAACACCGTACCTTTACGGCACAAGTATGGACCCTCCCCATGACCACGAAGTCCTGCGCACCGACATAGAACAACTGTACAGGAAAGCACTTGGAGAAATAAGATATATCGCGGACAGCACAAGACCCGACATAGCATTCCCAGCAGCAGCACTAGCACGAGCCTTAAAGAAACCCACGGCACGGCACTGGCGTCTGCTCAAGCGCCTTACTCAGTACCTCCATAGCACAGCTGACTACGGCATCCTAATGCCATATAACACAACGAAAGACACAAAAATCACAGCATACTGAGATGCAGACTTCGCCAATGATGAACAAACAAGAAAATCATTCTCAGGAACAATAGTCACACTCAATGACTCCACGGTTTACTGGCAAGCAAAACAACAACCGATCGTTGCGAAGAGCACATGCGAGGCTGAATACATTGCCGCAGCAGAAACGGCAACACATGCCATCTGGCTTCGCAACATGTTGACAGAAATAGGCATTTATACAACAGAACTTCCCATTCGCATAGACAACACAGCAGCTGAGCACATAGCCAAGCAAAAAGCACCAACCAAACGAAGAAAATGTATCGACATACGATATCATTACCTGCAGGATGTCACACAAAACCAAACGGTGGCAGTGCAGCGCATAGGCAGCAAAGACATGCCTGCCGATATCATGACGAAACCCGTCAAAGCACCACTGTACCACAAGCACCGCCAACACCTCGGTGTAATCATGCGACCACCACCGACAGCGGCATCTTGACAGCAACCCTCGCGTCAGGGGGACTGTGATTCCACACAAAAAGAAGCAACGACGCTCGGTCTGCTTGCATCCATAGAAACAAACGACACAGCAGTTGTGATTCCACACAAAATCGGAGCCATTACAGTAGAACAGAGAATAAATACCTGGTAGCTTGGAGCCCCCCCCTGAGAGGGGGGATAGGGGTGAGGGACAAGCGGAAAAGTGATTCAGCGAACCATAAAATGCTAGGGGTACCGATGCTGTATCACGGGGCAAGCGTCAAGGACTTACACTTGGGCGGGGCTCGGTAGGGCCGCGCCGTGATAGGGCATACGGGAAAGGGTGGCAGAGGCCAAACTGGACCAAAAAGCGAAACTGATGCGTTGTAGTAGACGTATCTTGGCGGTCCCATAAGATGAATATGTCCGGTTGGCAATGCGGTGAGCGAGGTACTCAAGGACTGCCATCGTGCGAGAGCTGGTCGCGCCGAGAGTATCAAATGCGAGCGGGACAAAGTGCCAGTCGAGTAGAGGGAGTGGGGAGTCAGGCTGGAGGTGAAATGCGTCACGCGCTGTACGGGAATGGACGCGAAGCTTGTCCAAATCAGCAGCTTCCGCTGCACCCGCGAGGCCTTTCGCAGCGAGAGACATTGTAGAGCGACAGTAGGTGGAACGAACGGTTACGTCGTACGCAGTGGGGCGGTCCGGGAGAGCGCCCGAAGGAGGCGGGGCTGGCTGGACGAGAATATCGGCGGGGCGGTTCGCGGTATTCGGCAAGAGAGAGGGGACCTCAAGGTCGCAGCAGAGACCGGCGGCGCGGAACGCGTGACGGGCGAGTAGGTTGCGTACAGTTTTATGACGGTGAACGACGCCGAAGCCATGACGGCATATTGCAGCATGATCACCGCGAGCGTCCATTGGCTTACAGCAATGCGAACATATGAGAGGCAGAATAGAGTCACAGTAGACAGGTGTATCCAGATGCCAGCGTAGCATACAGGACCACACCACAGAAGGGACTCGAGAAGTAAGTGAGGGGTGGCTGCATAGACACGACGCGGCGCCCGGAGCACGGAGGGATTTGTACCGGGCACGTCGGCGGACAGAGGCGGCACTGTGGTTGCGAGGGCGAGGGTCAAGGTCCCACGCGGTGTGTTCCCAGTAGAGTCGAGAAGTGGCCCCCTGCATAGCCTGAATTAATGTGTGGTGTACGCGTTCAGGTCTAGACAAAAGGGCCTCTGGTTCAAATGGTCCGAGGGGAGAATGGGTCCCAAGAATGCCTCGGGTGCGGACCTCAGGGTTCAAGGCCCCTAGTACGTGGACGATATGACGGCGGGCCATGCAGCGATAAAACAACTCGGAGGGGTTATGTGGGCCCTTCACACGAACAGGTGCCTGTAGTATAACCCCATCCCGTGGAACTAGATTTAGATTAGATCACACACGTGTGCCCCATGTATATCATACGTGTACCACACGTGTACTGTCAGCCCCGATGACCGACAGTACCGGAGCGCAGGACGACCCGCGCTGACTACAGTAGCTCTACAGTACAGTCCGTACTGTACTGTAGTATGATAGACTAACTTGTACATTAAATACTAGGGCAGGCCGGCGGCGGAGGGGAAGGACAAGCACGAGCTTGTCCAGAACCTACGCCTTTGGTCAAGCTCGCCCCGCTTATTCTAGATCGGGCTGGCTACAATAGCCCGTATCTAGTTAGGAGCCGAGCGGGCAGGGGACGCGCGAGCACACGAACGAGCCTAGATCCGCCTCTGCCCGTCAGCGCTGGTACGTAACCCAGCGCTGCCCCGGGGCGTCGAGGCGTAGATCGACCCGCCCGTGCGCGCGTCCCCGTCCGAACCCGCTCTACCACCACGCTACCCGGGCCCGCTTCCCGGTTCCGTTAGCTGGGGTTGCTTCCCTTCTCCGATCGGGGTCTCCGCAAGAACTGAGTATACACCCCCCTCCGCTGGGGGTGTTTATACTACAGTGGTCTCCCGACCTAGAAGACTCCGAAGATCATTCTGAGAAGGTTGCCGCTTTCCTCCGCGTCCGTAATCGTCGAGATAATCGAAGGGTCCGAACCCTCGGTCCACTCCGCACCGGCCGATGTGCGGGCGTCCGCGCTACGCTTTCTACCTGGCGACGGCGCCGCAGGTCCTCGAGACCGCGAACCGTCGCTGCACTACTCAGAAGGACGCGCTCGCGCGATGTACGAACGCATCACGGGGGATATGTAGGATGTCCGGACATCCCTTCGTATCGACGTGACCGATCACGTCTACGCCCGCAGTAGGGGCGAGTTGCGCTCCCTCCTTGAAGGCAGGTTTGAGCACGTCATTCAGTCCTTGGAGAATCTGCGCGCGCTCGGCGACCACTTGCACTCCGTCTAGTGTTGGTCGACGACGCACGCATCGATTCCCCTACGGCGGACGTTGCAGATCGACCCGCGAGTACGAACTCCGGGGTGCGACGAAACGCGCAGCGTTCCCATCTGCCGAACAGATGGGAGCGTTCGCGCATACGGCTGCGGAAGTCAACTCGACGCGCCGGCGCGCTCGTGAGTTAGAATAGAACTCGGCCGTAAGGTCGCCCAGAGCCCCCTCGAGAGGGCCCGGTGCCACTGTTCCTCTGAGCGCGTCCGATGCGCAGGAGTGGTCTCCGACTGGTGCCGTCACCAGTCCTCGCGCGGAGGATATCAAACCAACGGCCGACGCGAATTTTGCGTCCGAGACTAAAGCTCTGCCGCATGCCCCGGAAGTATGCAGCAGTTGCGACAGGTACTGTACGGGCACGACCAGGACCATGGAGGAGTCGCTCGCGGATCCGGAGAACCCATTTTCTCCGTCGATTCTCGCTGGGGCGGCTACCCGCCGGTGGATTACACCGCGCACCCCGGTCCGGTAGACGTACGTACACTACCCGTCACCGAGTTAGGCGCGTTCGTAAGATGGAACAGGCATCGGCCGAAAGGTCGCCCGGAGCCCCCCCGAGAGGGCCCGGTGCCACTGTACCTCCGAACGTGCCCGACGCGCATGAAGAGAGCCCGACTGGTGCCAACACCAGTCGGGTCACTGGGCAGTGAAGCCCCAAGACGGACGCGAATTTCGGTCCGAGACCCAAGCCCTGTCGCATGTCGCCGGAGACATGCGGCAGATGACACGCGTACCGTTCGTGGACGACAAAAGACGCGGAGATACCGCCCGCGGGTCAAGAGAACCGATTCTCTCTTTCGATCCCCGCTGCGGCGGCTATCAGCCGGTGGATCTCACCGCGCAAACCGGTCCGGTAGACTTCCGTACACTACACGAATTCGTAAGCGGACTAGCCCCTGCGACCCGGGCCGCAGTGGCTGAGACGGTCCAACTATTGCCCGGACAACAGAAGACAGACCTTCCAACGATCCACCGTATGGCGACGGCGGGAGGCACACCGTGCCGCGCTCGGCGCGGTTTGCCGCTGCCGGATCCGAAACCGGCAGCAAGGGGGAATCGAACCCCGAGGTCGCATGCGACAAGTTCGCCTGCGGCATCCCTCCACATAGGAGAAGATGAGTGGCAGGCCGACCCTGTCCTCATTACGCGAGGCTACAAGCCCGTGGGAGGCCGACCTCCTACGCCAGCGTCATCAAGGTCGACCGGACGCTTCGCTATCGCGTACGCCCACACTCCAAGGGCGCCCGGTGGTACGGACCACCGGGTCGCGGAGCTCGACATCTCGCATCGAGATGGAGGAGGCGCTCCGCCTCGCGTGCCCCACCTCACCGATGAGGAGGCACGCCCCACAAAAAGCCACCGAGAACCCCGTGGGTCCGGTGGCGACCACCATCCGCGAAGAACGCGAAGGCTCCCAGGCTTCCGTAAGCCCGGCGCGTGTTACCGAAAGAGAAGACACCCTGACCTCCGTAGGTCAGATGCCACGGACCGACCGTGAAGGCACCGGGCTTCCGTAAGCCCCGTGCACAAGATAGAGCGTCAGGCGTGTGCCGATGCAACACGCCCCGAAGATCCTACCGAACGCCGTGTCGCCGAGGGGATCGCACATGCGCTACACCTCACCGACTTGACCGATTTAGTCGGGAAGGCAGGAGCTAGCCGACCTAGTTCCGCAGAGAGGGCGCCGCTCGGTACGGACGACCCCCGGCCAAGTGCCCGCCGCCGACGGAGGGCACTGCACGCGTCTCGAGTCAGGTAATTATGTCTACCTGAACCCCACCGATGGGGCAAAGGCGTCTAACAAACTCGCCTCGCCTGCAGTCGGACCCTACCGCGTGCTCGCCAACGACCGCCGAACCATCACGATCGATCGTGATGGGGTCACTGAACGCGTCTCCGCCGACCGCTGCGTGTACGCGCCTCCTCTGACGGACGTGCCACGAGCGAGTACGACCACCCCGCGTGACCTTGCCGACAAGGTCACGGCAGGTACGCAGTATGCCGTCGAAAGGCTACTAAAACACCGAGCCATGGAGGACGGAACTACGGAGTTCCTCGTCAAGTGGGCGGAGTACGACACGCCCACCTAGACCGCGCGGACCCACGTCCCGGAGGAGTTGGTGTCTCGTTTCAACCCAACGCCTCCGGAGACGCACGGGCAGAGACCTCACTTCAGACGTGAACGCCGACATTCACGCTTGAGGAGGGGGCCCTCAACCGCTCCTTCGCGGATTAACGTCAGCCTGCACGAGCAGACTGAAAGGGGATGCGCGAGAAGACGACTGTCCCTATCGGAGGGTCACAGCATGGGACGACGCCAGACGTCAAGATGTATTGACGCACAAGACAGATACAAGAGGCCGCGATGACGCCGGGACGTACCGACAGTCAAGCCACCTGACGGCGGAACACCGCCGCAGACTCGAAGTCAGAGAAGAGGCAACACATACGACGTGAAGGCTATCGCCCACAGTAGGGCAATTAATGGGGGAGGACACCGAGTCCTCCGATGGTTACACAGGACTGCCGAAACGCAAGCCCACTCACGCTCCGGCCTGATAACAAGGGATCCGAATCCCTC